AAAAAAAAAAAAAAAAAAAAAAAAATTGGCCATTTTTTTGGCCCATCCGGTTTGCCGGTTGACCCCCCCTGGCCCGGTCCGGCCCCGGTTGGACCGGGCCAGCTCGACCGGCCAGTTGCCGGCCCAGCCCTGATTGCGGTACCATTCCGAAGGCCTTTGGACAGTGATCAACATTGTATGTAGAGAAAGAGGAGAGGGGAGACATGTCTGATGCTGATAGCTAATGGTGAGAAAAGCAACGGGAGACGTGCGCAGAAGACAGCAACAACATAGGGGGGAAATGGCAGAGGAACAAACGACAAAGGCAGAGCTGGAGGCAAAACAGGTAAGAGATGATGAGCAAATTGAAGAAACTGAGGAAGCAGAAAGGAGTAAATATTTACTGGCAAACAAAGATCAAGCACACGCTGAATCTCGGATGGTCTCGCGAGAGCGCCGGTCGATAAGCGCTCCCGCCCGCACCCTTTTTTGAAGCGTGGCTAGTGCGAACTTTTCGCGCCCTTTCTGTGCACGCCATCGCAGCAAGCACCACACGCCATCGCAGCAAGCACCACACGCCATCGCAGCAAGCTCCCGGAACCGTGAAATCGGATAGCGAAGGGCTGCTAGAGATAGCAAACAGTTTCTACAAGGATCTATACCACTCTAAGACTGGGGCACCAATACCCTTCAATGTCAGAGAGGCAAGGCAAAAAATGTTACAATAGAGCAAACAATATCAGCCGAACAGGTCGAAGCTCTCAACAAACCAATCACATCAGAAGAAATACATCGGGCTCTACAAAGCATGAACAACAACAAAACTCGAGGAATTGATGGGTTAACAAAAAAATTCTGGGAAAAATTTTGGCCCTTGCTAGGAAGTGACTTGCTAAACTTCTATAATGACAGCTGGTCCAAGGGGGTGCTGGGCAATCTACTTAGCAGCAGTGTGGTCACGTTACTTTACAAAAAGGGTGAAAAAGATGACATAAAAAATTACAGGCCCATTTCGTTGTTAACCCTCCCATACAAGATCCTGGCCAAGACCCTGTCCAATCGGATCATTAAGATCACCAACAAATGCTTCCACATCAATCAAACAGGATTCATCCCAGGTCGTTATATTCTAGATAATGTTATGACACTGAACGAGTCAATAAGAAAAATCAGAGAAAGGAAAATAAATGCCGCTATTCTCTTCTTTGATTTTGAGAAGGCATACGATCAAGTCAACTGGGACTTTATGGAAGCAAGCATGAAAAGAATGGGAGTCGGACCGAACTTCAGAGGGTTAGAATACTATACAAGGATGCAGTTGGTTGTGTCCAAGTCAACGGACTATTGTCAGATTGTTACCGAATATCCCGCTAGGTCCGCCAAGGGGACCCGTTGGCCCCGTCAATCTTTCTATTCGTAATCGAGGCAATCGCATCTTTCCTGCGCAAGGATCCATCTATTCAGAGACTAGCCAACACCGACGTAGGCTCTGCCCACCAAATGGATTTTCCCGCAGCTATCATGTTCGCAGACGATTTAACGGTTCTGATCAGAGCATCAAATCCTTCCTTCAGAATACTAGCTAACGGAAGCATTCAGATTAGCCTCAGAAATGAAGATCAATTGGGGGAAAACAATTGGCTGGTGGCTTTCTGAGATCGAACCCTTTCTCTCTCGAAGGAGACAAGGCGGCTATGACATGGCAAACACTGGACACACCCACTCGTTATCTGGGTATCCTGATGACGAAAGAAGGGCTGGCGGGCCCTTCCATGCTGGCCAAACAGATTAACAAAATCGGGAGGTGGGGCAACTCCTTCACTTCCCTTATTGGTCGAGCGCTGGTCCTCAATACGTCGGTTTTTTCAATGATGTGGTAAATTGCTTCCATCTGGACAATTCCGGACTACTCGATTAAGGAGTTGAACAGGCGAGCCAGGATTTACCTATGGACAGGAGACCCCAACAAAGAAAAGGGCTTGTCTAAGATAGCGTGGCACTATGTTACAAGGAGGCCACGAGACGGGGGCCTAGGAATCATTGCCCCCGGAACAGAAACGAAAGCCTTGCAAATCAAATGGATCATCAAACTGCTGATTAATCCGGACAGCGCCTGGAACAAGTTGGCACTGGGTAGTATCAGATATCTAGCACCAGTACCCTCCCCGAACGATATGTCAGGCCTGTTTTGGGTAATGAACAAAGAATGGGTGATATCTACAGGACGAAGGAATCAAACAAGGAATAACAGACTCGAGGAACATCGATCGCCCACCCCTTACTGGTCGGCACTGCCTCAATCATGGAGGAAAATACTCCCCAGTAAGACAAACAAACCTAAGTCCAAGGATGAAGTACTAAGACAACCACTCTTCGGGAATGAATGGCTAACAAACGAGGCCAACAACCCACTGTTCCTAGAACAAAGATGGCTATCCTGGATCAAGAACGTTATTTGGAAAGTAGACCACTTGTGGAAGGAGGACAAAAAAGACTGGATAACGAAACAAGAAGTTAGTGCCCGACTGAAAGGATGCCACAGACGAGAGACCAATCTTCAGTACATACTCAGTCTTATTCCACAGGAGTGGAAAGATATCCTGGATAAAGATTATTCGTGGAGACCGGGCGAGTGGGGTCTTATGATTCAAGACACATCCCCTTCTAGAGCTTATCGATTCTCCCACATGCAACAAGGCTCACACATCAGAGCCACTCTCCTTTCCTTTCCGGTCTCCTTCACCAATTCGAATATGCTAACTATTTTGAACTGCAATGTAGAATCATCTATACTAGATTCCTTCCTCCTCAGGAAAGTAAGGGTCCTAGGCACATGGCCAAAGGCAATTTTCAGATCGGACACTGCAATCCGGTCCTTGGAATTCGACCCTGCGGAATGGGCTACCGGCAACTTCAAATCAAAGATCCCAATCCAGGATTACTCAGTCAAACTAGGCTACAAACTAGCTCTAAAGACCAAAAATCCAAACCCTCATCAAAAACAGTTGGCGGAACCTTGTGGGTCCAGAAGCAGATTAAGTTACACGAATCCATTCGGAAAAATTCAAAAGTATCAGACCAATCAAGATTAGAAGTTTGCAATGGCTGATTGTATATGCAGCCCTACCTGTGAACCAATGGCTGCACATTAGACGGAAAGCCACATACCCAGACAGTTCTGAACTATGTATAGTCTGTTCTGAAGGTGCGGTAGAAGATGTAGTCCACTGCCTAGTGCTGTGCAAAGAGGTGACAGAATACTGGGCGAGAGCTTCTTCACTCTGGGATTCCCTCTT